TATATATATATATATATATATATATATATATATATATATACTCTTGCGTCCATAACAGAAAAAAAAGAGAGAGCCTTTTCTGCTTATGACTCCTCTGTATTACAAACTTAACTGAGTTCATGAGATGACACAATGCAAGTCTTGGTAAGAAAATTCAGAATTCATTCACTTTGGAAAGTCTTAAACAGGATCATCAGTGTGTGGCCTATAGGTCCTGAACTTGCCATGTAATTCCGTTTTCAGAGGAGATTTTTTTCCCCCCCAGATCTCTAATGTCTGTAGTTTATGTCCTTCTATCTAATTAATTCTCATTTCATCAATTTTATGAAAGGTTCAGCCATCTGAACCCATCTGAGACCTATAGGAATATCCTCGACCAACTGAACAAAGAATAGGCTACATCAAATCACTGCGTTCATAAGCTGTTATTCACCGAAGTTATTCCATTTCAGGTTTTCTGCCTTGTGTTGTGACTTGGCTGTGCACTGACAGACACCGAAGACACATTATAGTGCATTTTTAAAATGTATCCACTTTTTCAAGAACATAACAAAACTTGTAAAAAATCTAAGGATTGTTGGTAATAATTTTAATACCTTTACTTAGACTCATGGTGATCTTTTCATATATTTGAAAAAGTAGCAGTGAGAACTTAAGAGCTGCGTTATAACGAGCGTAAAAGTCGTCTTAACTCTTACTGAACATAACAGCTGAGCCTCTTTAACAATTTTGATTCAAAGTGAAAAATCAAATGCAATTTAAAAATTATAGCCAATCTTCTTAACCGTGATGGTAAACATTTCCACAACAGCTGACAAGTATTTACTGGGTCAAAACTATTTGGGTTCAAAAGAGAAAAAGTAAAAAGAGAGGAAAAAACGTGCGTTTTTTACGCACACTGCGACTTTGCTCGTCCTCTTGCCCTAAAATGAGTTGGGCTCACAGTTACCCAGTAACTGGGCGTCTACCCCAAAAGGATTTTTGTTAGACTATAACCGACAGTTTAACATGAGGAGTTCCCTTATATCTCCGCAACAGCTCCCAGTGCGCGCGGCTTTTCTAACACTGACCTTAAATTCATAGTGATTTAAAAAAAGATCTAATAATTGTTTTACATCTGGCTTTCATGCCTCTCCTGTTAAGACATTAGTTTGAACGTTCTCCTCTCTTTGCCGGTTAAATGATCTATTGTGTCTGTGATGCCACACTGTCAACTCCGTGCGCTTTGGATCATCTTCCTATTGTTGTTGCAGTTATTTGAACAGTGATCCGCGGCGGACGCATGGCACGCTATGATCACCGCTGAGTGAAGCGCACCATTCAAACACACGCACGCACACGCACACACATGGACACACGCTGACTGACAGGGAAACCAACACAGAGAAGGAGAGAGCGCTCTCATTGAAACGCATGTCCGCTTAGTTGCCTTACCTTCATTTGGAGGATAGATTATGAGGAAAGCAGGGAGAACGCAGGACATAAGGTGTAAAATGAAAATGAGTGATCGCGGATTGCAATCCATGGCGGCGGATCAGAGGTACAGAACTCCATGAAGCCACTGACTGGTCTGGGAACGTCTTCTCTCCACTCAGCTTTCCCCCCTCTCCTGCTCCGTTCCCCTTCAGCTGGAGCAGTTTTCCGCAGGGTCCTACAGAGTCAGGCCGACTATCAAACATGAATCAAGTTATGAATCTCAATCGCAGACCCACCAACGTTTTAAGTTATTTGTCAAGCTTATTTTGGCTATAGTGTTTATATATATATATATATATATATA